GCTTGCGTCAGTTTTCCTTTCAAGGTTTCAAATGCATTTTGACATTCATTGGTCCAGTCATATTCAACTCCTTTCTTTGTCAAATTATTTAGAGATTTGGTAATTTTCAAGAAATCCTTGATAAATTTTTGATAATATGATGCCAATCTAAGAAATCCTTTAATTTGTCTTACATTCTTTGGCACAGGAAATTCTTGAACTTTCTCTATCTTTTGAGGGTCTGGTAGGATTCCATATTTATTAATTTTATGTTCTAAGAATCATAATTCTCTTTTGAACATTTCACATTTTTCTTTGTTTAACGCAAGGTTTGCCTTTCTCAACTTGTAAAAGAGCATTTGAAGGTGTTCACAATGTTTTTCAAAACTGTTCAAATAAATGATAATGTCATCAATGAAGACTGCTACAAATCAGTCAATGTATTCTTTTAATACTTAATTCATTGTTTTCTGAAAGGTTGCTGGGGTATTGCATAAACCAAAAGGCATAACATTAAATTCATAATGTTCGCCTTTAATCACGAATGCAGTTTTTTCTCTATTCTTAGGATTCATTTCAATTTGCCAGAATCCACTAGCTAGGTCAAATGTTGAGAACCATTTTGCTCCATTTAAGTTCTTCAAAATTTCATCAATTTTAGGCAAAGGATAAGCATCTTCTCTCGTGAGTTTGTTAAGTCCTCTATAATCGATACATAGTCTTTTCTTTCCATTTGCTTTCTTTATAAGAATCGCAGGTAATGCCTATAGACTGTCAGATACTTGAATAATTCCTTCACAAAGCATCTTCTTGATTTCTCTATCGATAAATTCTTGTTCTTTCTTGGTCGTTCGATAGTAATTTCTCCTAATTAGGTCAGCATTTCTTGTATCAATTTTGTGTCAAGCTACATTAGTTCTTTCGACTCTGGTTGATTGTTCAGTTTCAGAGATATTAGTGATAAATCTATCTTTATTTACTTCCATCAGAATGTCAATTTCCTTTTGTTGTTTTGGAGTTACAACTTCTTCTTTTATAGTTTCTGCAAGACTATTAAGCAAGTTATTCTATACAATTCGATCCAATATTTTTTTAATAAATGTCATATGAGTTGGAGTAGTTTTTCCTTGTTTAGCTATCTCTTCATATTTCAAAAAACTGAGACGAATCTAAGATCCATTTTTATCTTCTTCAGTTTATTCCAATCTAGTTTCTCTAGGAATTTTTGTAGCATAAACATTGCAATTAAATTCTGGATCATTGAATAAATATTCTAAGTCTTCTTTCTTGACTTTTATTCCAGTTTCTTCTTCAGTTTCTTGTACTGCTGCTTTCATTGGATTCTCATTCCCTTCTACTTTTTCTCCAGGAGATTGCCACATTCCATATATAACTTTTCCTTTTCTGATTGAGAGAAATATATTATCTTTATCGTACAAAATATTGAGTACATATTTGGGATGGTTAACTTCTCCTTCATTTGCTTCTACTTCATCAGCCCAAGACTGAGTTGAGTTTTCTCCCAGGCTTGATTCCAAAAATCAGTATCTTCTTCTTGTTCTTCAATCTCGATGATATAGCTATCTGTTTCTTTTTTGTCATCATATTCTAATCCTTGTTCGATCATTTCATCGAGTTCATCCTCAATGGTTACAGCTCGAATTCTCTTTCTAACTACACATTGTACTAAAACTATAGCTTTATCCAATCCAGAGGTAAGGATCATTTCATTATTCTCAAAGTCAACATTAACTTTGTTTTTCTTGCACTAATCGATTTCTAACAATAAGGTTTGATCAGTAGAATCAATAACTTGAAATGTTGTTTTGATAAGAATTCCTTGAATGATTAATAGCACATTTTTAATAGTTCCTAGTGCTCTTTCTCTTTGTCCATTTGCAGTTACAATGATTATTTGTGAAGGTTCACCAATATCTAGTCCAAGTTTCTTCATTAACTTGTGTGTCATGATGCTTACTGCAGCTCCTGTATCGATGATAGCAGTTACAGGATTTTCTTAATTTTAACATGACATCTTAATGCCATAGTTCGTTCTTCTTCTTCTAATGTGCTAGAAATGCTGCATTTCCTTCTAATTTAGGTCTTCTCATCCCTTGAAGGAGTTTTTGTTGTTACACTCTGAATTGCATCATTTGTTCCATATTAACATTAACTTTAATTTTTACAAGGTCGTTCCAAATGTTATAAGGTTTAATATTATCCAAAAGTGATGGTTCTCTAGGTATTCTCTTCCTAGGCTTAGTAGTATTGTCTACTACTGTTTGGGTATTTGTTCAATTATTTCCATTGGTTCATTAATTGTTTAAGATCGAGTTCATCTGGTATTAGTTTCTCTTTGCAATTCAGATCTTTTCCTCTTAATCACTAGATAGACTTCTTGTTCAAGCATATTTACTTCCTTATTACTTTGATCTCTGTTTCTATTTCTCCAGTTATCTTGTGGTAAAACTTTTTCTGAAAGACATCATCTGGCTATATGACCTTTTTCTTTACATCTGAAACAGATTAATTCCTTTCTTAATTTGTCTTTAGGATTGTAACTCTTTCTTTCAGCTGGATTAGTGATTAATGTGACCATAATATTTACTTGATTTAGAGCCATTTATTCGAATTGTTTAGACAATTTTTCAATGTTATTTTCAACTTTTGGCTTGCTAAAATCATGCTCTGTTGCATAATATCTTCCTGCTTTGACAGTTTTAGTCTAAGTAATAGCGGCATCTAAATTAGCTGAGTTTTGAATTGCAACTAAGGTTGCCAATTCCTTATTTAATCCACTTAAGAACATTCGTACTTTAAAGGCATCTGGAATTCCTCCTGCATCTACTCTATTTGCTAACTTCTTAAATCTTGATGCATAAGTTTCAACCTTTTTATTTATTTGTTTCAGATTCATTAGTTCATATTGCCATCTATGTAATTTTTCTTGTGATGAAAAGCATGCTAAGAATCTTTCTCTAAATCCTGTGTTTGCATCTCTGTCCCATCTGTTAATCGTAGTGTTTACTAGATTATACCAATCAGCTGCTTCTTTCTTTAACATTTCTGTTGCAATTGCTACTCTTCTATTGTCTGGCCATCCATTAGTTTCTTTTACTTTTAAGAACATTTCAATCCATTCTTGAGCGTCTTCACTATCTTTTCCATAGAAAGGATCAACTTTTACAACAGAACTTCCTGCTGCAGGTGGTGCTGAGATATTAATATCATTAAATTTGTTGGTTATACTGGTTGTAATTTGTGTTATCAATGCATTGAGTTATTCTACTGTCATAGCCATGTTTGCAAGATTTGGTAGAGGGGTTTCTCCATAAGTGAAGTGGTTAGTGTTATGTGAGGTGATAAGAATATGTTGATATATTACTTCTGGTTCAAAGTAATACGTGAATCTAAGGCTAAATACTAAAGATAATACTGCTTTTGCTGCTTGTTCAGTGTCAAGACTACAAGGATTATTAACGTCGAAATACTGTCCTATTTCTTCAAAGTATTGTTTACTTAGAGATGAATATATATATACACGATATTGTTGGTAAATCCACTAATAGAATCTTTGAAATTGAACACTTTGGTTTTCAGATAGTTGATAACAAATATTACAAGGCTTATCAAAGGATTTTATGAGGTGTGTTCGTCCTAAATATTTGAAATAGTCATCTGAGTGTTGTTTTCTTATTTTACTATATAGGTTACAATTCATATACTAGTAGAAATCTCTAAGCTGATTCAGTAAATCTCTTCTGATTTCTAATAGGTTATTCCTGTCTTTATGTAGGTC